AAGGGAGGGGATGCAGAGACCAGGGAGGAGCGGTCAGGAAATAGTGCAGCCTTGGGGTGGGGTCCCTCCTCCTTCCTCCTCAAGGAACACTCATCGCAATACCTGTCTGAGCTCTTCTGCAGAACCCAGGTGGAGGATGGTAACTTCAGGCTGAGCACAAGATTCCTGGAGCTCCGCCCTCTTACCTCACCACCAACCAATCAGAAGGAAGTCCCACACCCTGAAGCACTCACCCCAAATTTTGCCTATTAAAGACTTTTCCCTAAAAACCACTGGGGAGTTCGGGTCTTTTGAGCACAAGCCGCCTGTTCTCCTTGCTTAGCCCTGCAGTGAACCTTTCTCTGCTCCATACTCTGACATTTTGGTTTGTTGGGCCTCACTGTGCATCAGTCACATGAAGTTTCATTTGATAACACAGGAAATTTTTAGGGCAGTAACTTTTCCTTACGATACTCTAATGGTGGATACATGTCCATATGTCTGAACCCACAGAATGTACAGTAAGTCCCTTACATACAAACGAGTTCCATTCCAAGAGCACGTTCATAAGTCCAGTTTGTTCGTAAGTCCAACAAAGTTAGCCTAGGTACCCAACTAACACAATCAGCTATATATACCGCTGCTTTTACACTTGCTTCCTGACATCCTGGGCTTGAAATAAAGATACTGTACTACTGTACTCTAGACAGTACTGTACAGTAAGGTACACAAAAGCACAGCGGCTGTCCACTTGCAGAGGATGCACACACGTGACAGTGTACGCCAGACAGGGGAACTAACTTACGTGATTGGACATGCAAACACACGTTTGCAACATGAAGGCTCGTATGTAGGGGACTTACGATACAACACTAAGAGTGAACTGTGATATTAACTTTGGTCTTTGGATGATGATGATGTGTCATCATAGTTGTAACAAATGTACCATCCGGTGAGGGATGTTGACAATGGGGGCGCTGTGCATGTGTTTGGGGCTGGGGGGAACACAGGAAAGCTCTATACCTCTTCTCAGTTTTGCTGTGAACCTAAAACTGCTCTAAATAATATGATCTGTTTTAAAAAGAGAGGGACTTCCCTGGTGGCGCAGTGGATAAGACTCCGCACTCCCAATGCAGGGGGCCTGGGTTCGATCCCTGGTCAGGGAATTAGATCCCACATGCATGCCACAACTAAGAGTTTGCATGCCACAGCTAAGGAGCTGGCAAGCTGCAACTAAGGACCCCTGAAGCTGCAACTAAGGAGCCCGCCTGCCACAACTAAGACCCGGTGCAACCAAATAAATAAATAAATAAATATTTTAAAAATAAATAAATAAAATGAGAAAATGTAGGTATTAAAAAGGAGCTGTTTCATTAAAAAAATATTTATCAACTAAAAAAAAACAAAAGAACTGAAACCAGCAAAAGGCAGGGTTGCCCTGAGGGTACATGCACGAGGGGGCTGTGTCTGAAACCCAGGGTCAGGAGTGAAGGAGACAAAGTCAGACCCTACTCAGTCCCCTGACCCAGGAGCACGACTGAGATAACCCCCAGCGGAGAGTATGCAGTACACTACACTAGGTCCAGTGCAGGCCCAGGCTTTCCACAGACTACGGCCAAACCCATTCGAGCTCGGAGGTCACCAAACACACAAGGCAACGAAGGGGAACAGGTTTTTTCACCCCAAAATATGCCACCTTGGCACAAGGACTGTTTTGAGATAAAAGCAATCAAAACCCAGCAGGTTCAGGAAAGGCTCCTTCCTTCCCCCTCAACTGCCTAAATTTACATTGGAAAGGGGGCCTGGGTCAGAAGAGACAGTTTTACCTGAGAAACCCCTGCACAATAGGGCAGCCTTTGTTATCCCAAGGTCTCCTCTCCCTCCTGGGAAAGGCCTTCCCTCCTCTGTATCCTGACGTCCCGCCCAGGCAAGATTTACAGAAGCCTCAGCTGCCCGGCTAACCCTTGTGAGTCCTAATGGCTTTAGGGGGCCCCCTTTGTACATAATTACACCTGGTTTTCTCCTGTTAATCTGCCTTATGTCAGTTTAGTTATCAGACCAGCCAAAGAACCTAGAAGGGAAGAAGGGGACATTTTCCCACCCCTCCCGTGATAAACCACCGCGAACTTCATTTTTCTTCTTAGCACCCACTACTACTGTGATATTGTGACTTAAAACAAGAAAGATGTAGCTGGTCTTCACAGAGCTGGCACAGAACTCCTAAACACTCTTGGAATTTCCTGTGAAGAGAGCAACAAATGTGTCTTCTGTTATGTTAATGAGGTGACTTTTGAAAGCACCTCAGGACTGGGGCTGGCTGCCTGTGGCACCGTCCCAGTAATTACAGTCTAGCCCCTGACCTGGGGGCGGACAGTGAGTTCAGTCACCAGCGGGCAATGATTTAATGGATTTTAATCAACGGCGCCTAAATGATGAAGCCTCCATAAAACCCAAAGACGGGGCTCAGAGAGCCTCCAGGTTGAACAGGTGGAGTTTCGGGGGAGGGCACCCAGAGGGCAGGAAAACTCCACGCCCCTCCACGTGTCCCCTGTGCCTCTCTTCATCTGGCTGTTGATTTGTAGCCCTAACACCGTTGGTAACAAACCAGAAATGTAGTGAGCAGCTAGTCTCCCGGGCCCGTGAGCCGCTCTAGCCACGGTTAGCAAACCCGAGGAGGGGGCTGTGGGAACCTCTGATCCACAGGGCGGGAGCACAGGTGACAGCTGGGCTTAATTGGCGTCTGGATTGAGGGGCTCGCAGGACCGAGTCCCTCACCTGCGGAGCCTGATGGCATCTCAGAACTGAGCTGAGTCGTAGGACGGGCAACTGCTTGGTCCGGGAAAACCCACACGTCAGGAGTGGAAACGAGAATCTCAACTATTAAACACGTGGGTCGAGCAATTCTTGTGTAAAGGGCCACAAAGGGATATTTCAGGCTTTGTGGCCACATGAGGCCTCTGTTACATACTTTTCTTCTTTTTTATTTTATAATCCTTAAGAGTGTAAAATCCAATCCTAGCTCACAGGATACACCAAACACCGCAGCCCGGATTTGGCCAGTTGCCTGGTTTGCCAGAGCTGATGCTGAGACACCAAGCATGCCAGTGACTCCTTTTGGACTGTCCGCCCCGTCCGCTGCCCTCCCCTCGAGGTTTGGGGTCTCAGTCTGTTGTGTTTACCACTTAATCTTCAGCCTCCGTGTCCAGCACACAGGAGGTGCTCAGTCAGGGTTTCTGAATGAATGAAAGTGGGAATAAGTCAGGAAAGAAATGTTTTTACCTCAAACTCCCCAATGGTTTCTGCAGTGGAGGCACGGGGGATCCCCCCAGATCTCCCCGAATTCCCTTTACCAGCCCATCCCCCCAGATTGTGAATTCTTCGTTGCCCCCTCCCCTCAGGGCACCACGCTGGACCCAGAAGCCTGGGAGTCACACCCAGGCAGGAGTGTGAAAGCAGCTCCCTAGCCTCCAGGGGTGAAAACTCTGCAGAGCACTTTACGCTCCAGAACCTCCAATGCAAACCCTCTGAGGCTGGATCTCCTCCCAAAATCTTACCTTTGTCTTCCTTACGCTGACCCCAGTCCCGCACTGGTTTCTCCCAGAAGCACTTTCTTAATAAATCACTGGCCCAGGAATCTTTGTCTCAGGTTCTGATTCTGAGGAGCCTGATCTAAGACAACCCCAGGTACCTGGAATTATCAGATATATAACATAAAGCACTCATGTACTAAACGCTCGAAGGTTTGAAAAATGGAACCACAAACAATCAGCAAACAATGAGAAACTATTAAAAACGAGCAGGTATATTTGGAAAAGAAGCAAATAGAACTTTTAAAATGGAAATTTAATTACTGAAATAAACTCAGTGGATGGTTTAAATAACAGATTAGACACAGCTAAAACTAGAATCAGTAAACTGGAAGAAAGATCTAAAGAATGTACCCAGAATGTCCTGCAAAGAGAGAGGGAAATGGAAAGTTGAAAGAGACTTTAAAAGATCTGAAGGCTAGAATGAGTTGGTTCGATATACGTATAAGCAGAATCCCAGAAGGAAAACAGACCCAGCAATCTCACACTTAGGTATGTACCCTGTGGACACTCTTGCACTTAAGCACCGGGAGACATATGAAAGGATAATAATGCAGCATTGTTTACATTAGCCCCCAACTAGCAACAGCTGTAACGTTCATCAGGGTAAAATATAAATAAATAACAGCAAAGTCACACAGTAGAATATTATATAGCAATGGACACAGATGTACTGCAGCTATAAGCAATGACATGGGTGAATCTCACAAAAATATTTTTATAAAGCACAAAAACAAGCAACACTAAACCATATATTGTTTAGGGAAACAGATATATGATACAACTTGTTTTTAGGCAAGGTAATGGTAGATACAAAATAAAGGAAGATGGAGGTCAGATTCAAAAGGTGGACACAGGGTATTGATAATACCACTCTAGACCTCAAGTTCATGAATGTTTGTTTTATTCCAGTCTTCATAAACTAGTGTAAGTGACCTGTTCTTTTGTATATATTTAACATGGAAAGTAATACTTGCAGAATCTCTATAAAACGAACAGTATAGACAAATGCTGAAGATGCCCGTCCTTGGCATGTCAGATAAACCACGGCTGGACTCTGTGTCCTACTATGTCTTTGAGTGGGTTCCTGACCATTCACAGACCTAAGTTTTCTCTGAAGCACAGAGTCCACACAGCTCCAGGGCGTGTGACACAGGAGAGCAGTTCCCTGACTCACTCGGGCTGGAAGCTGAGGGTCTACACTCAGTTCCTCCACGCCCCTCACACGTCTTCACCGCCCTAAGTCCTGTCCTCATAATCTGAGCCCCTGATTTGGTGTGAATCCCATCCTCCAACAGCCTGGCCTCCACCCGCCCCAAGGCTGCGACAGCGAAGGAGAGCGAAATCACAGGACTTACAGCCTCGAGGACACGGAAAACAAGACCACCTGAGGCCACGGGCTGCTGGATTCCTCCGCAGGTGCAGTGGACTCACCTGATGCTGTCCAGGGCGTATGTTACCTGCCGTTGCTCAATGTCGTACAGTTTCACCTTGAAGCCTGCGCTGGCGAACAGCATCGCCCAGCTTCGCCCGATGAGGCCACTGCAGGGAGAGAAATTGAGAGGCCACCCGTTGGCTTGAAAATGGAGCATTTCCATTCGCGGCCCAGGAGGAAAGTTTCAAATTACACGGCATCTCATTCCTAAAATCTTTGTTATCTTAAAACTACACATTCTAACAGCGGTATCTACTTAAACTGTTGCTTCCATGCAAGAGCTCCTGAGTCCTCACTCCAGTGCCCGTCCAGACCCCACGGGGAGCATGGCAGGGAGGGGGCAGGGAGCCCAGGGGAAAGGCCCCCCTGGGGACCCCCAACTGACTACTGTCAGACAAGTAACTGAATCTGAAGAACAGAGACAGCATTTTCCTCCTCCTCCAATAAATAATTTCTGCTACCACCACCAGCACTTGAGGCAACATAAAAACTGTTCACATCTCAGGACTTCCCTGGTGGTCCTGTGGGTAAGGCTCCGTGCTCCCAATATAGGGGGCCTGGGTTCGATTCCTGGTCAGGGAACTGGATCCCACATGCAGGCCGCAAGAAGTCCGCACGCTGAAACTTAAGATCCCCACAGGCCACCACTAAGAGCCCGTGCAGCCAAATAAATAAACATATTTTTTAATTTAAAGAAAAGAAATGAATGCATAGCGCCCAAACCTTGGTTTCTAATATCATCTCCAATGAAGGAAGCGGGCTCAGTGTCCCTCCCCTGAAGCATCCTCACTGAATCTGCAGGGATCCACCTGGACCCCCTGATGTCGCCCCATGGGACTTGGGGGGAAAGGGGAGCCAGTGCAAAGGGGGTGCTCAGCTGTTGGCCTGCTGTGATCAGTGAAGCCCTCTGTCTCTGACCCCGAGTCTCTGTCTCCCCAGCATTCAGGGAACGGTAGCAAAGCGCATCATTAGTTTCCCAGTAGATGGAACAGACGGCCCACAGGCTTCACCATGGTGACTGCGTGAGCAGCTCCGGGGAAGGGGGGCCAGAGCAGCAGCCCGGAGACGGGCTCCAAGGAGGACTCTCCCCATTCCAGCCCCCCAGCCCGCCTCCCCCCAACTCAGCTAATCTACAGTTCAGGTTCAGAAACATTCCCAGCCTCAGAGTGGTTGAGGGCAGGTGCATAGCAGGCCTCCTCTTGACCAAAATCCTTCCACAGTCCCAGGCGCTCAGCCCCTAATCCAACCAGGCAGCCTGGAGAGGGGCCACTGTCTGGTTTCAAGGTATCTCCGTGACGCCACTGGTCCCAAATGCCGAGTGCAAACAACGAAAACCATCTCTACGCAACTTTGGAGCAGGGAGCTGCATTACACAGCAGGTTGTACTCCAGATTCTTCCACACAATGAAATAATGTAAATTTACATGTTACGTACATACAAATTTTCTGTTAAACCCTCAGTGCCCTAGACCCTCACTGTCCAATAAGGTGGACCCCAGCCACATGCAACTATTTAAATTAACAAGAATTAAATTTGAAAATTCAGTCCATCCACAGTAGAGACCCGTTTCAAAGTACTCGATGGCACATGTGATCATGGCCACCACCTTGGACAGCAGGGGTGAACAGAACATTTCCATCTTTGCAGAGCTGTTCTAGAGCATAGGAGGAAAAAAGCAGAAAAAAGCAGAGCCCAAGCCAGAGTCCGAACGAGATAGTCCTACACGAAGACATCCTCGTCCTCTATACATACACACACACACACACACACACACACACTCTCTCTCTCTCTCTCTCTCTCTCTCTCTCTCTCTCTCTCTCTCTCTCTCTCTCTCTCTCTCTCCAAGCTGCAAGGCGCAGGTAAAGGCCAGTACCATTCATGCTGGTCACCCCAGTTGACCCACCAACAACTGGCTGGTCTGAAGCGGGATGCACTGCAAGTGTAAAAACATACTGGATTTTGAAGACTGCCCCAAAAAAGGATGTAAACTATTTCATCAATAATCTTTATATCAATTATTCATTGAAACAATAACACTTTGGAAATATTACGTTAAATAAAATATATTACAATTAGTTTCACCTGTTTCTTTTTACTTTCTTAATGTAACTACTAGAAAATTTAATTATGCACGTGCCTTGCGTTTATGGCTTGCATTATTGGTCTAAGGGGCAGCAGCAACTTAAACGATGTCTAGAACTATAATTCAATCATTTATCCTTGTATTTAGTTTGGCATTGGGATACCTAGTTCATCCCCAACTATGCTCCCAGGCTGGGCTCACACAGAAGTCAGTCACATGTCAATCTCCCAGAGGCTGTGGCTCCTCGTGGTCGACAAATGCACTGGGAGACAGACCTCATGCTACTGCTCCCAACCTTCCCATCAAAGATGGTTCACAACACCCTAGGCCGCCATGATGCTCCTGTTTGAATACCGGCTGCCAGGCAAACTAACTGATCTTCATAACTTTGTTTATGGCTAAAAGAATCAACATAAGACAAATGTCCAAAAGGAAATAATATTTGTAATAGATAAATACACAAAAAGTTCTACAAACTCAAAAGTAAAAGATGAACATGCCAAACAAAAGGGGGGAACCTGAATAAAGTACGTGAACAAATTAACTGGGAAACATACTTTACTGCCTTAGTTCAACGATAGCAGATAAAATCCCGATCAGGTGGCAGAGGCTGATCACACTCAGTGCTGGTGAGGAGATGGGGACCCCCCCTCCCCAGCTCCCAGGGCTTTTACTTCCAGAATTTATCTTAGGTTAATATAAGCAATGCACAAGAATAGTTACTCATGGTAGAATTTGTACTGGCAAAAAAGTAAAAACTAACCTTCTAATATTCAGAATTGGTTAAATAAATCATATACCGAAAAGGCAAACAGAGCAAAATTTTTTAACCATTGTTGAATACAGAGGTGGATGTGGGTATATTTTTTTTTTTTTTTTTTTTTTTCCTTGCGTTATGCGGGCCTCTCACTGTTGTGGCCTCTCCCATTTGCGGAGCACAGGCTCCGGACGCGCAGGCTCAGCGGCCATGGCTCACGGGCCCAGCCGCTCCGCGGCACGTGGGACCCTCCCGAAACGGGGCACGACCCCGCGTCTCCTGCATCGGCAGGCGGACTCTCAAGCACTGCGCCACCAGGGAAGCCCTATGTGGGTATTCTTTCTTCTGTATTTCAACTCTTCTGTGTTTGAGAATTTTCATAATAAAAAGTTGGGGAGAGGGCTTCCCTGGTGGCGCAGTGGTTGAGACTCCACCTGCCGATGCAGGGGATCCCGGTCCAGGAAGATCCCACATGCTGAGGAGCGGCTGGGCCCGTGAGCCATGGCCACTGCGCCTGCGCGTCCGGAGCCTGTGCTCCGCAAGGGGAGAGGCCACAACAGTGAGAGGCCCGCGTACCACAAATAAATTAATTAATTAATTAAAAATTTTAAAAATTAAATTAAATTTAAAAAAGTTGGGGAGAGATGAGTTGTATTCCATACGACAGGCATTAAAGGCAGAGTCAGTTTACTTTTATTGTCGTGGGTTTCAAGGTCTGTATGGCCTATATTCCCCTAGAGGAGGGTCCAAGAGCAGAAGGCCCACTCCTGGGGGACCCCTCCCCCAGCTGTCAGTCACCGATGACATCACGAAGCGGACACCAGCACCCTGTGCTTGAAGAGGACTGAACCCCCATCTCCTTAAAGCTGGGCCTAAACTATGGAAACTGTACGTGAGCATCAGGTACTTACTGGGGCTGAAAGATGATAACGCTGGGGACACAGCAGTGGGCAGGCGGGGGCAAGAGGGCGGACACAGGTGCAGCAGGGGGTCACAGCCAGACCCCAGAGGGAGGTGCAGCATCCGGCTCACCGCTTTCCCACGGCCTTCTGGTCCCCAGCACTACCTTACTTTAGGCCCAAATACAATTAGCTTCCTGGCCTTAGAGCCATTGACATCTTGCTAACTTTTCCTGAACCCCTACAAGCCTGGGGAATAGAACGGGTCCTTACCATTATGACTAATGCCTTAAAGCAGGGGTCCCCAACCCCCGGGCCGCTGACCAGTACTGGTCCTCGGCCTCTTAGGAACCGGGCCACACAGCAGGACGTGTGTGGCGGGTGAGCGAGGGAAGCTTCATCTGCCGACCCCCATCGCTCCCGTTACCACCTGAACCATTCCCCCCCGCGCCCCTGGTCTGCGGAAAAACCGTCTTCCACGAAACCGGTCCCTGGTGCCAAAAAGGTTGGGGACCGCGCCTTAAAGCTTCTAAATTCATAGATCTGAACTGGTATTTCAAAGGCTGCTGCAGATGAACTTACTCTGTTACATGGCAGCAAAGCAACCAGGGAGAAAAGTCAAGTAACAAAATTGGTTCAATTCTAATTTTATCATTAACGGCACTTAGCTTTGAATAAGTCCACTCTAGATACTTTTTAAAGTAATTTTCCATATTCTATAGTTACTTATTTACTGGGCAAAAGTTGAAGTAAAACAGTCTTGATCTCAGTTGGCTATGGAATATTTGCCAAGAAGAGCTATTAAATATTTCTAGGAAAAGCATGTTTAGTGTTGAGCTGACGACAGGCAGCTGGAGCGTCCTAGGGTTTGCTCTGTGCGTCTGTGTATATGTCTGTGTGTCTTGTGCTTTAATGCAGAAGCAGCAGGAAAAAATGTATGCCTCACAAAATTTCTTATAAAGAATGTACGTAGTCACCTCAAAGTAAAATTCTGGAATAAAATAAATGAAAACAAGTTCAGGGGATGCATAGCCTGATATAAGACAACATCATAGCAAGCCTTCCCGCTACACATCTCTGTTACAATAGCTCCAACATCTGTCTACTAGGACCAGGCATGAGGGACATACAACTGGTGATGACAGTTTCTACCCTAAGGGGAGTGTCCCAGAAGCAGAATTTTCCTGGAGGACTTGGTCCCTGAGCTCAGTCCTAGAGGAGTGTGCCCAGAAAAAGGGGACAGCAAAAAGGCACGTGGGGCCCCAGTGAGACAGGCTGGGACCCGGGACCCGGGACCCGGGACCCTTTGCCGCAGTGCCTACACCTGCGTACACACCTCTCCTCGAGCTACAGGTTACAAAGACACTATAGGGACCTAAAAATAACTCCGCGCGTGAGCAGTGGGGACAAATTATGAACAAGATACAAAAAGACCAAAGACCCAACGGCCTCATCTGGGGTGCTAGGGGCAAAAGCAGGGTCCTGTGCATGATCACTGCACACAGCACCACCAGGGGGGTGGGCAGACCACTTGAGCCACCCCTCTGGCGGACCCGTGGATCTGCCCACACCCTCGCCCTATGTAAGGAAAAAGGTCACCACCACCCCACACCCCCTCAGCACGAGTCCCAGTAAAGCCTTGCCTGAGTTTCTCCTCTGGCACCTTATCAATTTCTGCTGATTAAAGAGTCCAAGGACCCTGGCTGGTCACACCAGGAACACACGACCACGCTGGCCTTCCTAGACAGATCCTACCTTCAAAGCTCACGGTCTAAAACCTCAGTGAACACAATGCAGTGTACGTCGGAGCTCTGAAGTCACATTTCGGCTCAGAAACACCGTGGTCTCCAAGGCCTGGCAACACCGCTAGGATGGCTTCGGGGAGACCCATCTCTACTGCCATTTTGTAAAGCTGCCATTTCCAGATTTTCCCCCTTTAATGTTCACACAGCCCTGGACCCAAGGGGGTTTTCTGTCCTTTCTTAATTCTTCAGAAACACACTCTTACTCTCTCAGGCCCACTGCTCTGAAGGGGCTCACCCTGCGTGCTCTCGGGAAAGCCAAGTGCCCTGAGGAAGAGTGGCCTTTACGAAAAGGTCTCAACGGAAAATAACTAAATAGGGGTTGTATTCCTAGCGTGCACTTTTAGGAGGGAGTCTGGTAATTATTAAGAAAAAATGGAAAAACAATGAAATATGTATATTTTGAAATATGTATATTTTGGTCTGTTGAAATCCAAGAATGAAAGTGAACCAGGTTTTAGCCAATTAATTCACACTCCCCAGGCCCATCTTTTGAATGGATGCCCCTTGGAATGACCTACGGGGTTGAGAGAGAGAGAGAGAGAGAGAGAGAGAGAGAGAGAGAGAGACAAGGGGTACAGGAGGGGAGAGGAGGGGACAGGGAGGAGGGAGGAAGAAGGGAAGGAAAGCAGGGCTACCGCAGAAGCAGAGATGGCTGCTTTCGGAGGTGCTAAAAGTGTGGAGGAGGGACTTCCCCGGTGGCACAGTGGTTAGGAATCCGCCTGCCAATGCAGGGGACATGGGTTCTCGAGCCCTGGCCCGGGATGATCCCACATGCCACGGAGCAATGAAGCTCATGCGCCACAACTACTGGGCCTGCGCTCTAGAGCCCGCGAGCCACAACTACTGAGCCCGTGTGCCACAACTACTGAGCCCATGTACCTAGAGCCCAAGCTCCGCAGCAAGAGAAGCCACCGCAGTGAGAAGTCCACGCACCGCAATGAAGAGTAGCCCCCGCTCGCCGCAACTGGAGAAAGCCTGCGCACAGCAACAAAGACCCAACGCAGCCAAGAAAAAAAAGTGCGGGGGAGACAGGACCGTCTCCTAATTCCTGTGGTGAATCAAGTTCGCCAGCCCTTGTCTAATTCTTTTGTCAGCCTCCCTCAAGGAATCAGAAGTAAACTGACTCCCCTTCGTAGCTCCTTCCCGCAAAAACCAGAGCCGGAGAAGGGCGCAGTTGACCCCGGAACGACAGGGTCTGGACACCACGGAGCCACTTACACGCAGGCTTTCTTACATGGTAAATCCTACGGGAAGCAGGATCTGGGGCTGGGTACAGCCGAAAAGGAGCCGACTGTCAATTAAACTGACTTTTCTGGTGGGAATGGACGGTGGGCGCCGCTGACCCGCGAGTGGTCCAAGGGTCACCTGTACAGTCAACTCCAGACTCCACTCAACATTGTTGGGTGCCGGCAGGACACCCCAGTCCCAGGCTGTGGTTGATACACACTTGACCCTGGACAAAAGGTGCAAGGCAAGCATAGTCATCACGCCCGGGACAAAGTACACTTTTTTCTATATTTTATATCCCTTCAGGAGGCAGCCACATGCCCATGTGCCTGGAAAGGACAGAAGCACAGGTAACTCCACTTCTCCATGTAAAGGAAGCTGACACACAGCGTCCTGTCTCCATCCTCAGAGGGCTCTAAGGAGACACCCGGACAGGGACTTGTTCTCAGGACGGGGCTGTGACGGGGGTCAGGCAGGCCAGCATCTCGGCGTTGTAACCGGACACTGAGCCACCCAGTAGATGAGCCTAACGACCAACTGCAACTACCGACAAGTGGGTAGCCTGCTATGGTAGCTTACCAACGGAAAGGTGCACATAGACGCCTGTTTTAAAAAAAGGAAAGGGGAGGTGTTTTACAAGAGGGATGGAGCACAAACCAGAAAACCGTGGATGGAACTTAAGCTGCTAACCTGACACACAACTCCCGGCGAACCCGGATGCCCTCGGGATAGGGCGCCCTCGCCACGCAGGAGGCGCGGATTCGGATCGCGCGGGCCGCGCCCCCCGCCCCCAAGCGGGTTCGCCGGGTGACAGCCTCGGGCCGGAACGCGCGAGACAGCC